TTCTTTTTGCTTTTGATCAGGATGTCATCAACGTAGGCTTCCATTGTGACACCCAGCACATCTTTGAACAGCATCCCGATCATCCTCTGGAAGGTTGCCATCGCGTTCTTTAATCCGAATGGCATGACGATGTAACAAAACACGCCATCCGAAGTAACGAACGCCGTTTTCTCTGCATCGGCCGGGTGCATGAATATCTGATGATAACCCCGGAAAGCGTCCATGAAGCTCAGTAACTCACACCCAGCAGTCTCATCCACTAGCAGATCGATCCTCGGCACCGGGTAGGGATCCATGGGGCACGCTTTATTCAGATCAGAGTAATCCACGCACATTCTCCAGGTAGATTGTTTTGGGGCTAGAACCACATTGGATAGCCATTCTACGTGGATTACCGGACGGATGTGCTTTATCCTTAGCAAAGTGGCCACTTCCTTCTTTGTGAATTCCCGCCGTTCGGTTGCTTGATACCGTTTCTTCTGTTGGACCGGTTTTGCATTAGACCGAATGACAAGTTTGTGACATATTATTTCTGGATCAATGTCGGGCATATCTTCTGGCCCCCGGGCAAATAGCACCTGAAACTTTTTGAGGACGGCAATCACGCCATCCCGGATATCAGCCTCCAGATCTACCCCGATAGCAACCTTACGGTTCGGGGGGAAGTCGAGGTCGATTTGTTCAAGAAGGGTGGAGGGCTCCGGGTGTGCCTCGAACTCCGTTCGGTGGGTTTCCACCTCAATTGTATTCACCCGCATCCCACGAGTGTTCATCTGTTTCAGGGCCTCCCGATAACACGTCTGGGCTGTTGTTGGGTCAGTTCTGGCAACCCCTACCCCAGTGTCTGTAGGGAATTTGATGCATGAGTGGCGGACAGAGGCTATTGCCTCCAGATCTTCCAATCCCGGTCGGCCCAATATGGCATTGTGGGCGCACTTTATATCTACCACCACGAACGTCATTCAGAGTGACGCTCTGTGGGTTTCATCCCCAATTTCAACCATCAATTGGATGGTCCCTTCCGCCTTGATGCAGTTACCGGTAAAACTCGCCAGTGGAGTCCGCAGGTGGGTCAGTTGGCTCCTCTGTAGACCCATTTTCTCGAATGATTGTAGATACAATACATTCACACTGCTCCCAGTATCGACCAGCACTCGGCGGATTAAAGCATTGTCAATACACATGCTTACCACCAGTTCATCCCTGTGGGGGCTTGGAGAGTTGGGTAGATTAGCTGGCCCGAACGTGATCGGGTCTGTCCTTCATTTCTTCTGAGGGGGGGTGGAGACGGATCCTACATAAAGATTTCGCTCGAACCTTTTTCATTCGGCGTTCGAATCTCCGGTCTCCCCGCCCCCAAATATGACCTTAACCTCCATTCGAGGCTTCTTTTCGGGGCCTCCCGAGCCCTCTGGCTCATCCCTGGGAGGAACATACACATCATTTTGAGGCTGGGCGTCACGTTGAGCATCCCGGCGCCAGCTATTAGGTTTCCTGGCCGGTTTTAACGTGCCCATTGCATTCGGATCTTTGTTCACATATTTGCCCAGATGGCCCCTTCGGATCAGATCCTCAATTGCTGTTTGCAGGGCCCTGCAGGCATTGGTGGCATGACCCTTTCTGTTGTGATATTTACAGAAAGCATTGTCATCCGTTCCCATGAACTGTCCAGAATCAGTCGGGATGGGAATATTGTCCCTCTCGTTCTGATAGATGGCCGCTATTGATAGGACCAGGGGTGTAAATCTCCCTTGTTTGGGAGGTAAAGTGGCCGCTGGGCTAGGACCCAGCCGATCGGCCAATCTGATCGGGGCAGCAGGCGTAATGACCTTATCCCTGATCATTATTTCTTCTTCTAGGGCGGCATGCTTGCGAGCCCTATCCAACACCTCGGCGTACGCCGTACCCGGATTCTTCTTCAATTCTTTGTACAACTCCCCCGTTCGGAGAGCATTTGTGAACAGGGTAATGGCGGTATCATCCGTCATGTTTCCCACTGTTAAAGTTTCATCCCTCCACCTTTTCAGGAATTGGTTGAGGGTCTCCTTGGCGTTTTGCTTCACGCTGGTCAAATAGCTGAAGTGCCGTTTGGGATTGGCACTGGAAGCAAATTGAGCCAAGAATAACGTTGATAACTCGGCAAAGCTATTGATTGACCCAAGCTGTAGTTTCCCGAACATTCCTGGGCAGGCCCCCTGAGCGTGCTGAAAAACAACCGGCAAATGGCGGCCTCGGGTGCTCCTAGCAGCATAAGTCCGCCTTGGTAACTCCTCAGATGTACGTGGGGATCTCCCACCCCATCATAAATTTGGTCGGTCGGGGGCTTGGCACCCCCTTGGATATCCGCGTACATGAGCTCCCTAGTAAACGGGGAAGTAATCCCCAGCTGAACTGGCGCAGGTTGTGCAGGTACCCTGTTCATCTGGTCCCGCATTTCATTCATTTGCCTCCTCATCTCGGCCATCTCTTCCTCCTGGGCCGTCAAAGGGGGCGGTGGTGGAACCCTCATATCCGCACAGTCCCGGTCCCAATGCCGCTGAGGGGCCCTAGTATTTTCCTGCTCGGCATACTGGAAATGATGACCGACGGGAGTTGGTCCTCTAGCTTGCGACCCGACCGGGGTTCGGTCACTAGGACTGGGATGCGCTGCTGGTGGGGCGCTACGTCGATTATCCCGATGAGTATGCGAACGGGATGACGTTGTGGTCGTTTCCGCGCGTGGAGTTTCTCCTGTAAAGCTGGAACCTCCTTCCTCTTCGTTCGCCATGTGCTGCATGAATTGGGCCATGTCACGCATGGCCTGGGGATTTCTTCTCAGAGATTCGGGAATCACAAAATCCCCATTAGAACGAGGATACGATCCTCGACTGGATTGCCCCTGGGGGTTTTGACTCCCCGGGGTGTGACTCCTCCCGTGACGGTGTGAACCGTCGTTTGTATGATAGGAATTGATTCTGACCATTTTTGAAAAAATAGAGGTTTTTTGGATGTTTAGAAAGTGAAACTTTTTGCAAGTTTCCCACAGACGGCGCCAATGTTGAGGGTAAGTCCCGCAGATCCGAAACCCCAACACGAACTTTGGATATATCAGGAATGGCCCAGAATCAAAGTGTATAAGAAAATATAAGATCTGAACTAACTAAAACTCGAAAGCCCACTTGTATTACTTAACCAATCTGATTACAAGGGATTTCCCGATCGGTAAGTCGGAAACTATGCTTTAATACAAGAAATAAGAGCAAATGATGCTATTCTAGAGCTTGAGTATTGAAATGCTAACCCTTACAATGACTTGAAACCTTCTATTTATACTAATGGAGAGCATGGGCTGCCTCTTGTTGATTGGCCGTTGTTCCACCGACTTGGTCATCCATGCTTCCACTTGCTGATGTCATAGTCTGACATTAACTGCACCCGGCCACTTGCTGGTTGGCCGTTGCTCGAACGGGATGTTGGGCTGCACTGAAGATGCTGTCAAATTGGCCCAAGTATGACATATAGCCCGAACCTCGTTCGGTATGTCTTCTTACTGGGCCGATCTTTATTTGGGCCGAACTCCGTTCGGTATGTCTCCTTATTGGATCTTTTCATCATAGAGTGATGGGCTTGTTACTTGGGCCGGATATCTTGGGCCTTCCCGATCTGGGTATTGGGCCTCTAGGTCAATATCCCAACAGATATGTAAACGGAAGTACGGAACTTATACTACTCCAATTCTAAAAGTATGATTATGAAATTTCTAAAAGTGGTGAGTTTTTGGACTACTCCACTTTTATGTTTCAAATTTCAATCAATGCTCCAATTCTCTTTCTCAAAAAAAAAAAAAGAATGACACCCCATCGCTGAGGGTCCCCAACCCTCAATTCTCTTTCTCGACAAATTTAATCCCACATCGAAAAGAATTCAAGTGATTCCGGTGAATTTATCAACAAAAAGTGTACACTTTTTGAATATTCACTTGAATACACAAATAACTACGGACGATTGCTAACTTTTACTCCCTCCATCCCATTGGAATGTTTCCGCTTTCCTTTTTTGGATGTCCCGTTGGAAAGTTCCAATTTCCTTAAATGAAAAGTTATCCTACATCAAAACAGGGTCAAACAGTGCAAAATAGGGTTAAACAGTGAAAATAAAACAGTGTCAAACAGTGTCAAAACAGTGCCAAACAGTGTCGAAACAGTGTCAAAACAGTAAAATTTACCCCCTGTTAAGTTTATTTCATTAATATGTGTGTAGGTCAAACCGGGAACATTCCAACGGGACGGAGGGAGTACTAACTAAGTGTCTGTGTACGCTAGTACGCTATTAATTTATAACTTTCTAGGTTTGATACAAATACTTTAACAATTAAGTGTTTATACAAAAAATGTAAACATCGTGTTTATAATTATTCGCTCCGTGTTTTAAAATCTGCTACACTTTAATTTTCTGAAAATATTTAAAAGTTTGATACATGCACTTTCTACTTTTAGTAAGTTTTTAATTTAAAACTACTCAATTACTTTTACATTTTCTATTTTATATCTTCTTTTTCATACTTTTACACTCTCTCACATCCTTTTTCTACACTACTATTTCATTGTTCCAAAAGGTGGAATCTCCCACCCCAGGAACCCCCCACCCCGACCTGACAGGATGATGGGGAGGTTAGTCACGGTGACTCAGTCAGCAGAATGGCAGTAGACTTATACACCCGTGCGCACCAGAGGTCCAACCTTATTTCAGATTCTGTAACCTCCACCCTGTCGCTGCGGGGATTCGAACCTTGGTCAATTGTTCCAAATCTCCCACCACTCGACCAACCGAGCTACCCGTGCGGGTCTTACTATTTCATATTTAAATGGTGTACTATACACAAATCTATCGTTGAGAACTCTCAAATATGGAGGAAATGATCCTTAATTCGTTTAGGTCATTTTAATCGTAGACTCGTGTGACCTACCCACCTACCTAGATGGCTAGATGGCCTATATATATGGACACTTCCTCACGTTTAAAACACAAGTAGTCTAGTTCTCCACCATACTGATTTTGCTAACTAGCACCAAACTATGGCTTCAGCTACGTTTACAATTTCATGCACCGCCACCACCAACCCCATCTTCGCCTCCAACTCCTATCATCTTCACAAACCTTCAAAGTTATTACTCAACCCAAACCCGCCCAGGCACCGCCGCAGCAAACTCACATGTGCAGCTTCCTCTTCAAAAGACCAAACCCCGTCGCCGGAAAAAAACATTTCTCCAGACATGACACTTGACCGGAGAAATGTTCTCTTAGGTCTAGGCGGCCTCTACGGCGCCTACAACCTATCCTTTTCCGGCGGCGGGGCCCTGGCAAGACCGGTCCCTCCCCCGGAGATTAAAAAATGCGGCAAAGCTATCATTAGCAACAGCAACGGCGCATATGTGCCCTATTCTTGCTGCCCTCCCTCCTCCGACACCATTGTTGACTACAAGCTCCCGGAGTTCTCCAAGTTGAACGTCAAGCCGGCGGCTCACACCGTGGACGCGGAGTACTTGGAGAAGTACAAGACAGCCGTTCAGAAAATGAAGGAGCTCCCGCACGACGATCCCCGGAGTTGGTACCAGCAAGCCAACGTCCACTGCGCTTACTGTAACGAGGCCTATACACTTTCAGATGGTGTGACGACCTATCAGATCCACAACTCATGGCTATTCTTCCCCTTCCATAGATGGTATGGCTATATCTTCTTTTAAAGCTTATCATACGGATTATCATTTTTGACAAGTGAATAACAAGTACGGAGTAGTACTTTTACGTCCCATTTATTTAGTTAATTTTGACTTGTAAAGTTAATGATCTACCCCGTAAATCTTTGATCATTATGTACTTGTTTAGTTAATGTTGACATTCATTTTGATCATTTTATCATTATACATTGATGGTATAAAAATGATAGGGAGAACTAACACATAACCTCTTGAACTTTCGTAAAAAGTGAAAATAAGCTCTTTTATAGGATATTCTGTTCGGCCGTCGCCATTTAGGGAGGTTTACGGTTGAATTTTTTTATGAAAATTTTTAGCATATTCTTCATTTAAGTCGTGTTTAGTCATATCAAATTTCACCTGAAAATTAAATCTAGAAGGCAGTCAAATGAATTTTTGAAGATAACTGCGCAGTCAGACAACGCAGTATATTTCAAAAAATCATTTGACTGCCTTCTAGATTGAATTTTTAGTTAAAATTTAGTATGCGTAAACTAGATTTATTTACACTTTTTATGAAAATTCAAGGGTTATTTGATAGTTCTTCCAAAATGATATGAAAATTTTCTTTTTATGAAAATTCAAGTATAGAATTATTAAGTTTCACATAAATACATGACTACATTCATTAAAATAAATGATTAGAATTTATAATCTTTTACCGAAATAGTCAAATATGAATGTCTAAGGAAATTAGATGGAAGTAGTATAACAAAGTTGGTTAATGAATACTCCGTACTCGCTACTGCTTATGTATGACTCCACTGCATACGTAGTACTCCGTAGTATGTATCAAATACGAGTAATGAGTTAAGAATATTCAAATTAAAGTGCAGCGTCATTATTACTTTTGCATGAAATACCTAAGATTCTAATTCAAAATCAATATTTACACCCCGTCCCATTTCAAGATTTTACGTGGTAGCTGGCCGTTTAATTAATTAGTTTGTGGCAAAGTGCCAAAGTTAACGTTTTTTGCATGCCCTCATAATTTACTCTCCTCGAAATTTAGAATATTTTACTTGCACTTTTCATTCTCAATTAGATATGAGCATATCAGACTACTTAAATAGATATTAGATCAGAACTAAACAAATCAAACTTTCATAATTATAAAATATAAAGAAATCAAATCTTAACTAAATTAAATTAGATCAGATTAACTAGACTTAAATAAAATAAACTAGACTAGATCAGATCAGATTACACTTAAATAAATCAAAATTTCATAGTTATAAAACACACAAAGATCAAATCTTAACTAGACTATATCAAATTAGACTTATGATGTTTTCTTTTGGACTGTTTTCACTCGCAGACTAGATTAGACCAAACCAGACTTAAAGAGATCACATTAGACTTTGACAATTATAAAATACACAGAGACAAGGCCTTTACCAGACTAGACTAGACCAATTCAAATCGAACTAGACTAAATTCAAACAAACCAGACCAGACTAAATTAGACCAGCAAATTTCAGTTCAAAAGAAACCATTCTTAAATAGAATAGACCAAACCACAGCAAACTTAAACAAATAAAACTAGATCAAATCAGACTATATCAAAACAGCAAATTTCAGTTCCATTGAACACATCATAACTACTCCTAAGTTGGGAAAAAGTAAAAATTGAATTTCCAAAATTATCCTTGCATAGCAAAGAGATTTTGTGGTACAAATAAATTAGATACATGTTGCCCTTTTTTTGATCGTAGATACATGTTGCCCTTAAAAAGAGTAAAAATGTTTTAGAATCCAATATAGGGCTCTCATGTTTTTATTTTTTAAATAAGAGTAATTTATGCCAAGTTTGAAAAACACCGTCATGTATAAAATCTAATAAATGTTAAAATTGGTAGAAATTATTCTCATTTAAGGAATAAAAACATATTAGTCCCATTTTAGAAATTCTAAACGTTTTTACTCATATTTAGGGATTTTTTCCTAAATTAAAAGATAGTAAATGAATAAACTAAGCAAATAATAAACTTAGCAAAAGTACTACAAATTAAGTAAAGTAACAAGTTAACTCTTTGATCTAAGCATGGTTCGGGAGGCATAAATCCTTCCCTTCTACATTTTGTACTATTTAAAAAAGTGTATAAAAGTTTCTAGTTAAATGTCTGACATGACAAACTTTAAGAGTTTTTTAAATTGTCAACTTTTTACCAAACACCAATCATTTTTTTCTTTTAAAATCTGTTTTGCCACTAAAAGTTGATAATTAATAAAAAAACTTATAAAAATACTCCAACTAACACTTTTGACGCTATCTTATTGGAATAATAAACTCAAACAACAAATAAGACGGATTATATTTTTTGAATCAAATCCCAACATTATCTGCAAATCCATTAGCACCCATGAATATTTTTTTGTATGTCGATATATTGAGGAATAACTAAAAATCAAGTTTTAAAGTGCAGCTAGGTAAAGAAAAATCATGAATTTGATAAGAGAAATCAACCCATTAACAAAAACTTAATAGAACTTGAGGCAAAATATCACATAGAGCTGAGGTTTTCCAAACACAGATTTATTAGAACTTGTAGAGGCATTTTAAAAATTTCAACCAATGGTGAAGTACTTAACAGGAAAAACTCATGTCTTTAGGACCCAATTAAGCAACATAATTTAAAGTTAATTGGCGAAGAATATTCATTCCAAACTTATTTGGACATATGGTAATTTTAGGTACCTATACTTCCACGAGAGGATTTTACAATCCTTGATCAATGATCCAACGTTCGCCCTGCCATACTGGAACTGGGACAACCCAAGGGGCATGTTTATACCAGAAATCTTCGACGACCCGGATTCTTCGTTGTACGATAAAGGTAATCGCGACCTGATAAACACCAAAGATTACGTCGTGGACCTAAGTTACTCCCCAAACAGTGTGGACACGTATGGAAAAAAGGAACTCCTAACTGTGAGGAACAATCTTGCGATAATGTACCGCCAAATGATGGGCACAACGAGCCCAACACTTTTCTTTGGCCATGTTCTCCGAGGGGAGGGTTACGATGGTAAATCTGGCGGTGGAAGCATAGAGAGCGGTGCCCACACCGCTATGCACCTGTGGGTTGGTAACCGCGAGAACACTTACAGAGAGGACATGGGTAACTTCTATTCAGCAGCTAATGACCCTCTTTTCTATTGCCACCATGGGAATGTCGACCGGATGTGGTCCATTTGGAAGACTTTGCCTGGCAAGCGGCGCCACGACTGCAGTGATCCGGATTATCTACAATCTGAATTCCTGTTCTATGATGAAAACAAAGATCTTGTTAAGGTCAAGGTTCAAGATTGTCTTGATCACAGCAAACTTGGCTACACTTATCAGGTACATAACTGCATAACATGCATGCATACCATATACAGTAGTATATGTGATAGCATATGCTATTCTAGCTGCTTCGATTTATTTTTATGGTAATTAACATATCCAAAAACCAACTACAGTACATCTTCAAAAGTGTATACTCCCTCCGTCCCGGAAAATTAGTCCCACTTTGACTTGGATCGGAGTTTAAGAAAGTGGGAATAAAGTGGAAATGTATGGTTGTGGTTGAGTAAGAAAAATGTAAATGAATGTTAGCCACACAAAACTTTCCAAAAAGGGAAATGGGAACAATTTTTTGGGACGGCCCAAAAAGGAAAATGGGACTTATTTTATGGGACGGAGGGAGTATATAGTATCACTATAGTATGTAAAATACCCACATTTTCTAACTAGGGCGAGCTAGGGCACCAGGACTGAAGTGGTACAAAGAATCTTTTTGGATTTTTTTATAAATTTGGGGTGGATTAGGGCCTATGTTGGCCCTCCCCCAGATCCATCCATGTCTCCAACACATACATACATGCTCTTAAACAATGTGAGACCTGTACTGAGATAGGTTTTTTCGAATGAAGAGAACACAGTTTATCTCTGATCTTTACAGGGATTCCACTTTATGTGGTTTTTTGTTCTTACATTCTTCTATGGGTGCCATTATAGTGCCATTCTTCAAGAAGAATCATAAACCTTGGATATACGGAGTATATAGGATCATTCATTTCTATGCATTTTTTATGACAAGCAAAGTTTTAAATAATTAACATTATAGTACACCACTATGATTTTGGTTGTTAATTTCTGCCAGCCAATGCCTACACCATGGGAGAAATGTAGACCGACCTGGAAAAAGAAGGCAGTGTTGAAAAGCACCAAAAAATCATTCCCCCCGGCCAGTAACATCTTACCAACAAACTTAAAACACACTATAACATTTACTGTGATGAGGCCAAATATAGATAGGTCACAGCAAGAGAAGGAAGACGTGGATGAGATATTGGAACTGGGCTTAAAATATGATGAAACCAAGTACATTGGGTTCGACGTGTTTCTCAACGAAGACAATGAGTGTACGTCGTCCGAGTTGGATCGGCCCGAGTACGTCGGGAATTTTTCCAACTTGGCTCACACTCATAAAAAAGGTGATGACCCCAAAGAAGTCAAATTCAACTTGGCGTTAACTGAGCTACTTGAAGACTTGGGGCTTGAAAGTGAGAGATGTATTTCAGTTACTTTGGTACCAAAGTGCGACGGTGAATTCTTGACTATCACTGAGGCAACACTCTCATTACCGTCTGCTGTATGTTGATTTTGGGGATCTAGAGTGAGGTACCATGGAGTGTTTCTTGAACTCGATCTATGCTGTTCGAGAAAGAACAAAACAATAATCTGATCTCCTTGCTTTGAAATTTATTTGATGAATATTTGAAGATGTTGAGCTTTGAGTTGTGATATTTTTACAATATTGCATCTCATTGGTTACTGTTCTATTTGTGTCACTTATTAATTGTGCTCCAGTATGAACAATGCTGAAAAACCAAAACTAGTCAATATTTAAATTGACAGACTATGTTGTGTGGCACTAATAAACCTGTTGTTTTTTCATAAATAGTCTCCCCCTCTTATTTTTTAACTGTCTTGTTTTACTTTTTTGGTGTTCACAAAATATATGGTATACAACCGTTTATTTTATTATGGTTAAATCTCAACCACAACTTTTACTATTTGAATCATTTTTTAATTATAATTGTGACAAGTCAAAGTACGACATACAAAATGAGAGGTATACTAGCATTTTGAACATATACTATCAAAGGCTAGCTAATGTTCTCTATGACCTTGATTATCCTAGCCGGCGTATTAAAAAAGCCCAATCATTCAAATTGATACGATTTAGAGTAGGCTCTTATGTTTTTCAACTTGAACCTTGTTGGTGGTTTAACGAACCCAACAAACCTATTGAATGACTAAAATATGGGAAGATGAATGACAAAAAGTTACCTTTAATTTGAATAAAGGTTGGTTACAGACTTACAGCTAGTGAACTGTCAAGTGTCAACCCCTAGACCACCAACACTTGGAGGGAATTGATTGTTTAAGATTTGTTTAGAAACATTTGACATTTATTTATTTTAGTTTTCAACTTGAGGTGGTTTGATTTATTATGTTGGATTCCTTTTATTTTCTTGAACTCTATGAAGTGTGTTTAATTTCTTAGACTCATGTTGATGTTGTTGACTTGGTCATATGAAGTACTACCTCTATCTCTCTAATTTTGGGACAAAGGGGTGTGGTGTTGTTTTTAAGAAAAAGTAGAATTGTGTGGTTGATATTGGATGAATGAAGTGTAAATAAAGTAGGAATGAATTCTAACCACTCAAATATGACCAAATATGGTATGAAACAAACTTAATGGGACGGACGAAAAAGATAAAACGGGACAAAATTAGAGTATGAAACAAACTTAATGAGACAGAGAGAGTGTTTTTTGAACTCATTTTGATTTTGTTGATGTGGTCATAAAAGAGTAGAAGTATGTTTGTTGAACTCTATGGTGTTCGAGAAAGAACAAAACATGCAATAATCTCTTTAATTTGAAATTTTATTTGACCAATATTAGAGGATGTTGAGATTTGAGTTGTGATATATAGATTTATGATATCGTACCTCATTGGTTACCATTCTATTTGTGAGTCACATGATAGTATTAAGGTAATTGTGCTGCATATGAACAATGATGAAAAATAAAAAGTAGTCAATACTTAAATATGAAAAAGTATTTTGTGTGGCACTAATGGAGCTTTGAGATTCAGCTCGTATACTGTGGGATCAAAAACAACGTAGCTTTAATCAATTTAAAAAATCGTGTTAACAGTACACGAGTGTACAGTACACACACGTACAATAACAATTTTTCTCTTTTTACCCAGTAGCATGAATGATATATGTAACTCGCATGTAAAGAAATGTAACTCACGTAAATAAGTAATGTTACTGCAGACAAGTCGAAATAGTGTATGAATATGAAATGCAATATACTTATTTTATTTAGATTAATAAACTTTTTGTTATGTATTGATAAAAAATAAAAAATAGATTCAATTATAATTTAAGTTGAAGACAAAGAAAAGTAAAATTGCAATTAAATTTTTAATACTCCCTCCGTCCCACTAGACTTTGTCATCTTTCCTTTTTTGGTTGTCCCAAAAAACTTTGCCACTTTCATATTGCGTTATACATGACCTCAATCTGATCAAGAGCTTAATTAACGTAGCCGGCCTATTAAACCGTAGTTTTACGAACCCCAACAAATCTATTGAATGACTAAAAAAAAATTACCTTTAGTTTGATTGACTAAAATATTATAGAAATTACTCTAAATAGGAGCAAAAACGTTTTGAAGTTCTAAAATAGGAGTATTGATAGAGTATATAGACTCGGACCCCCGGGTCTCACGACTATTGGGTCCGGACAGCGGCCCACACACATCTTACGGATATCATTTGTATTATTGTACTGCTTATATGTCATTTGTATGTAACTATGTACTAGATTAGTCTTTTATTTAGTTGGGCTACCGGGCCCATATTAGCGGCCCGGCCCATTATTTCCCTATTTATACTCCTCTTGGAGCCATTTGTAACCCTAACTCATAATTCATACACAATATCATTTCTACTATTCATCTTCTCCAATTATCTAGCTCAATCTCTCCGTTTTAATATACTTTGGATACCCCTATAATCCATCAATGGTGCTTTCATTGAGAGATTAGAGCAAAATCAAGTGAGAAATCCTCCCAAAACATACCAAAAATCTCATACGAATCACAAAAAATGAGCCAAAATTGTTCTGGAAAAATCAAAAGAAAGATCCAGAGATAAAGATCTGGGTTTCCGACACAGAAGCCGGAGATGTCTTCACCGGTAAGGTCATCGCCCTCCTGGTCGCCGCTGTACGCCGATAACGGAAGCTTATCGCCCGCTGAAGCCCACCAGCCGTCCCAGGTCTGAGCTGAGGCCGCCGCACGCCGTCTACTGCGGCTCACGGAACCAGGTACGAGCTCCTCCGTCACAACATGTCAGCGTCGCCCTGAGCCGCTGAGCCACTGCACTGCTCTCCGTCACTGCACGAATATTGCATCCTGAACCCCGGTCACCCTCTCCCTGGTCATCATTTTCAGCTTCTGAAGCTAGATCTTCAAGCACCCGCCATTAATGGCCACCTCAAAGCTCAGGAAGACGACAACGACCGAGTTCGAGTTTCGTCATCCCCGCCACAGAGCCGCCTGCCTCCTCCCGTGGATCTACCGGCCGACCGTCGCCTGAGGGTCGCAGCTTTTCCTACGGTCTGAGGCTGCCATGCCCCAGGGCGAACCAAATGCGGCTGAAGGCCTTCCCCATCTCGGTGTGCGGCTGAAGGGTACTCCCTATTTTGATTTTGATTTGCGTCGAGCAGAGCCAGGCAGGCCAAGGTCAAGTAAGGAATGCGAAGGCCAGGACTGTTTTCAGCCCAAACTTGATGCCCACAAATGAAATGGGCCTCAATTTCAACATCAGTCCATCAAATCCAGCCCACTTAAAAGCTAAGTGCCCAATACTCCTATTTATACACTTAAGATATTTATTAAGTGATAGTAGTATAATTATTACTATTATTAATTATATTATTTCCACCACCGTTATGGCGGGTTAAAAACCCCCGAGGTGGTGAAGACCATTATGAGGGATTAAAATTTCCCGAGGTCGCTAATGATGCATTATTATTGGCATTATTATTTTTATCATCGCCATTAGAGCGGGTTAAAAATCCCCAAAGTGGTGGACCCGAGCTCTAGTCTACCGAACATCTTTATTTGATGATTCAGATTATATTTGAGGTCATTACCTTGATTCTTAACAATTTTCCTATCTTTTTATTTCTCCAAACCTCTTTCTTTTTCTTGTTTGAGCTTGAGCTCGAGTTGGCTATGGAAGGTGAGGTTTCAGATCTCCTTAGCCTTCCTTTCTTGGTGCTGGACGAGTAAAATGAGTGGGAGAGGAGGGAGGATGGTACTTTTATCTTTGGTTGACAAATGGGTGAGGTTAGGGGTCCCTTAGGTGTCAAAATGGTCTCCCCCATCCCTTCAATGGATTTCAGCCACAATTTAACTCAAGCCAGCCTCCAAGATCTGGAAATTTCGTGGGTTGGCCCCCACTTGTGTGGGAGGTCACCCCTTTTTGTCCAGAAGTGCACAATCGGTCCCGAAAGTTGCATTTTTCGGTCCGTTTTAATCATATTTTATTTATCGGACCAAATAAAATATATTACGCGTTCCTAATAATTATGGGCCTTTAGAATAGATGTACATTCCCCAACATTAATTTAGGAGTCTCCGAAACTTATTTCGGGCTGTTATCCGCTAAATTACCAATACCGGTAATTGGGCCCCATTTGACCAACCGGTCAACTCCATGCCTTCTTATGGCCCAAATAGAATGTCCATCACCATATAGATGTCATCTAGACCAAGATGAATATAATATGCGGTTCGGGAATTATCGGGCGGTCCCCATCCCCGCTGTGGGCCCCACATGCAATTTACTATTCACGTAAAAGAAATATTAAAAATTTACAATCACGCAAATTCTTAAATCATCCTTCAAGGTTGATTACATAATTTACTAAAAGTAAATATGCTCGGGGTCGGTGTTACACTTTTAGTCCTGTTGTTAAACCCACCACTGTTCGCACTGTTCTTACTTTAGCTATTTCTTTTAATTGGCCTATTCGTCAGTTAGATGTTAAAAATGCCTTTCTTCATGGTTATCTCACAGAAGAGGTTTACATGCGTCAACCACTCGAGTTTATTCATCAGCAATTTCCTAATCATATTTGTCGCTTGCGCAAGGCCATTTATGGACTTAAGCAAGCTCCCCGAACATGGTTTCATCGTTTCAGTAGTTTTCTTCTTACGCATGGTTTTATCTGTAGTCGTGATGATAATTCTTTTTTTATTTTTCGTCAGTCTACACGTATAATTTATTTACTCTTGTATGTGGATGACATCATTGTTACTAGAAATTCCTCTACTCTTATTCGTAACTTTATTTCTCTATTAGGGAAATATTTTGCGATGAAAGATTTAGGGGATATACACTTTTTCTTGGGGGTTCAGGCTGTGCGAAATTCCTCTGGTTTATTTTTATCTCAGGCCAAATATGTGTCAGATCTTTCACGCGTTTCCATCTTCATAGTCTTAAATCGGTTCGTACGACGTTAGCCACTAGAACCAAGCTTTCTCTCACTGATGATGAATTAATTGCTGATCCTACAGAGTATCGTAGCATGGTAGATGCATTGCAGTATTTAACTATGACTAGACCTGATATTACATATGTTATTCACTTGGTGTCTCAATTTATGCATGCTCCTCGTACCTCACATATGTTGGCTGTTAAGAGAATTTTCAGGTATTTACAGGGTACTATATCTCACGGCCTACATCTACAGCCGTCGACACACCCACACTCAGTTCTGGCATATTCTGATGCTGATTGGGCTGGTTGTCCTGATACTAGTCGCTCCACGTATGGATTTGCTGTTTTTCTTGGTCCTAACCTGATCTCCTGGCGGTCCAAGAAACAAACTACTGTCTCCCGCTCCTCCACTGAGGCTGAGTATAGAGCCATTG